TTCATGTCAAGGGCTGTGGGAGAAGACAGCAGCACAGAATGGAAAGGCACAGTCGCTGTGAAAGTGAAGGGGCCATGAGCTACAGTGTGAGGAAGGACTATCGGGATTCTGAGGATGAAATGAATACACGGGAAAAAGGAACACTATACAAAGAAGAATGCCACCCGACCTTCCTGATTCAGTAGTTGTGAGCAGAGCAAAGCAGATGTAACCAAAGCAAGGTCAGCTCAAGTCTAAGGAAGGGCCTAAACAGTGAGAAAAAACACTGCTTTTGGTTTTGAACCCAGCAACTTCAATTGAAGTCATCAAATAGAACTTGGGAGAGTAGTTAAAGCTGAAAGTAAGTACTCCTAAAAAACAAAACCCTCCACATCAGTTCTGTTAATCCAGACTCTCCAATGGCATCCACTCACACCACAATTACAACTGTATTTTTGACAACAGACTCTTAATTATTTGTAACTAATTAATTTTTATTCAGAATTCATAATAATCTTAAAAACTTTGCATGGTAAAAATAGCTATTTGCATTCACATGAAAGTAAAACACTGAGTGACAAATAAGATGAGGTAGGGACCCTCCTGAAAGTTCATCTATGCTCTCCTATCCCAGTCTCAACTGTCTAGATGGATTTTCTGCATCATTTCACATACTTATTTTTCCCAGAAACAGTCAGCAAAAAAACAAACCTGTCGATGCTTATCTACAAGTTTTTACCTGAAGCAAATTTTTACAGTCAATTTTGAAATTCCTAAAATCAAACTGAACTCCTAATCTGACTAATTTACGTATTTTGTAAGGGTCAGCCTTAGGACATAATTTACACAATTGTCTACTGGCCTCAAGTTATTAGTACTAGTAGCCCAAATTTATATTATTTACATTTAAGAGAACCTTTCTTATAATACATATTTAACATAAAGAACCTTTTCAGAAAGAATTCCCATTTTTATACTTAAGATTTAGTGATCTAATACATGAATATTTGTGGAGTTTAAAGATTCATTTCTCATTGATATAAGATTTATTTCCTTATCTTACATTTTCAAATATTTATCCTAATAAAGAAATGAAGTGAATTGCATAATAAAACATCAGGAATGACTTGCTATATCTAGCATAGAGCATAGAGCAGCATCTTAATTGTATGTTCTTCCAAACCCTCCCCAGCCAGGCTCTTTGGCATCTACATAATTGTTCACTTGGTAGAATGAAGGTATATCATTACCAAAACAGTTACTCAAACTAACAGAGAACAACATGTACTTTAGTATAGGTATCAACAGGGATTCCAAACATAGTCACTTATTTTTTAAGCATTACTTCACCTAATTGACTACATTTGTAAATTGGTTCCTCTTCAGACAACAGAGAAATAACTCATAGATGTGCCATTGTGAGTCACTGATAGTGCAATACTTCCGTTGTTTATTTCTTTTAATATGTTTAATATGTGAGAAACTGCCCCCCCCAGAAGATTTATAAAGACATCAAAATCTTTCCAATAGCATTGTTTATGTGAACATTTGGCACATGTTGAACGAGTTCTCCAAGTATACCTCTGGTTGAAACGCAAAACCTGATCTTTGATAACTACATGCTTTCCAGGGGATGCTGCAAGCTGCTTTAGAGGCATCTTTACCAACAACGTGGGAAATATACCAACTGGAACTCATCGGTTAATTTCACTAGTCAATGTCACTTTCAAAAAATATGATCTCTGGGAGCTCAATATTACTCATCTTGTTAGACTTGTTTTCCTTTGCCTGACTAGCTTTGCCCTAAAATGCCAAGAACACAGACATGGAAAGGGGGGGGGGGGGCTATGTTTTACTTAAGGCTATCTGCCCTACGATCACATCTTCTTCATTAGAAATAACCAGTTCAGTAGTTTCTTTTGAGAAGAAATATGGATGCCAAGGGTCCTTTAAATTAGCTTCTGGATACATCTATGGCTGTGGCAATACTGATGACATTCTTCTTAAAATAGAGTACCACTCTGAGCTAGGAGTTACGGAAAAGCACTGAACATCAGCCAATGAAGCAAGAACAGCCTAAACATATGCTGCAAGTCAATAGCAGGTAGGCAATAAATATACTTAACACTGCAAAAAGAAAGTTTTACAATAACTGTCACCACATGCAAAAAGTTCTGTATAACCAAAGCTATTTCCATGTCCCCAGGGGTGACCCAGAAAAACTGAGTGTTCTGACCTGGTTTTAACAATTCTCCCTCTTACTATCCTATACTGATCAAATTAGTACCCTCAAAGGTTTTCCTTATATCAAATCTAAATCCTGTTAGAAATTCAAGTTCATTTCATTTGTTTTTGAAAAGCTACGCATTGATGAATAAAAAGTTAATCTCAGGATTCAAATCAGGTTTATCATGAGAGTTTTGAAAAGCAGCTCTGGAATAAAAGGTTTAAGTATAGCAAGTCACACTTAGATACAAGCTCTCAACAGCAGTGGCCACTTAAAACTGGAACACAGCATTCATGTTCAGAACCTCTGATGTAGAACATACTTTATGTTACATATGAGGTACTCAAATGTCATTAAAAGCTGTATGTTTACTCTCCTAAACAGCTAAATTTAATAATTACCCACCTGAAGAAAAGGCAAAGCAAACTGACATACAAATTCAGGGCTATTTATCTGGATAATATATATTTTTAAACTTTATTGTGATCTTATCAACCTACAAAAGTCCCCTACGATACTGTATGCTACAGATGCTAAGTTATTGAAAGCTCAAACCAACACATTCAAAGCTCAAAAGAAATGCATGACTCTAGGAACCTGTAAGGCTCTAATACCCCTTTGCACTGATGTCTTTTTAGCCTCCCTTCATGTAGTTCTGCACTCGCTTTAAACTAGTTTCCTAGTTCTGTCCATTTGGGTTTACCCTGCTGTATGCCACAGAAAAAGTCCTCTTACCCTTTGGAAAGTATACCTCTAAACAGTTTCACTCACGTAATCTTTATACAGGCTACATGTGACAAAAATGCAGACACTAAACATACATGTCCTACACAATTGGTTTTATTTTATACATATGAAATTTTGCCTACAGATATGTCTGTGCACCATACTCATGCCTGGTACCCACAGACGCCAGAAGAAGGCATCAGATCCCCTGAGACTGGAGTTGTAGATGGTTATGAGCTGCTATACAGGTGCTGGAAATTGAACCCAGGTCCTCTAGAAGAGCAGGCAGTGCTCTTAACTTCTGAGTCATCTTTCCAGTCCCTGTCTTATACTCCTTAGGGTTCAGGGTTTTTTTTTTTTTTTTTTTTTTTTGCCAATTCTTCTTAAGTAAGCTGGTGTTCCACATTAGTAAAGACTGATGAAAACATGAAGATACACCATCAGAGAACTCTCTGCCTTTGTGACTTTATGAAGTTGGACCAGCTCACATTCACTATTACATTATACTTAAATGCATTAGCTTCAATATAATCATAGAAACTTATCATGTGAACCCTGTTTATAAAAATGGACCTATGGTGAGAATTTGTTCTCATATGAGGGTACCACTACATTCTTTCTACCAGAAATAAAGTATATAAATAAATATATATCAAAAAGAAGACAGGATTGTTTTTTGTTTTTTTAGTTAGAACTACCTTTAGAAGACCAGATATTTAAGGCACATTTGAAAATCAATGCAAAGCCTTTAAAAAGGTAAACTCACAAGGATCTAATAGTAAAAAACAAAAACAAAAAAATCAAAGCACCAGTCTTTTAGAAAGAAGAAAAGGCCCAGATATGATAAGTAATAAAACTAAACAGTATTACAAACAAATGCTAGAACTAGATGGTGGCACATGCCTGTAATCCCAACATCAGGAAGCTCTGAAGAGAATTGCTGCAAGGCTAAAACCAGCCTGGGTACATGGAGAGTTTGAGATCAGCTTAGGCTACAAAGAAAGATCATGTCTCAAAAAAACAGAGATGAGAACAATCAAATACCACAAGGGTATGACAAACTGAAAGAGAAATATGTATTTTTAGTTGTACAGCTTTCTCTGGTGCTATAGATTTCTAGAAATACTGGCTGTATCCTGTAAGGTTACATTTAGAAATAAAACCTTGCTTCTCAAATCAGCTTTTCATAATCTTAGTAGCAGAAGCCTTAAAATTCATCTGGTGAGATGGGCAGTGTACTGGTAAGGAAAGGGATTCAATAATCAACTAGCAACCATGAGCTTTATTGGCATATCTCAGTGCTGAGCCTGATGTACACACTATTGGGGAGAAGCAACTGAGTGTTTTCCCACAGGCTGTAACTGATTATTGGCTCCCATGTTAGCATTATGGTGCTTATTGAAAGTCCAAATATAAGGCCGAGGGACTCCTGTCCCAAGGCCAGTGCTGAAAGACAGCCTATCACTTCGTGTAATACAGTTCATGTGTGACAAACCTGACCTACATTTTTCTTTCTTTCTCCCAACAGCTTGTCACTGTTGTAAGGAGCTATTTTCAAAAGGCAAAAAGAAATGACCTTTAAAATTATTTAAGCAATGTGCATTCCTAAGGCACCATTGACAGCAGTCTTATAAAGAGTAGCTAATCATGAAACCTGCCTTAAAAAGAGGGCACAGCCAGATGAGTTTTATAGAAGCTAACCTGAGTAACAGCTCTCTGCAGATGACCATGGCTGCACGATAACGTCTTAGTTATGTAATGCGTACATAACTAACTTTAGTAACAAGTAGTTTTAAGCATATAATGCATATTAATTTAGGGCATAAATTGAACATTTTTAGTAGTTTACAGAAAATACCTTCCATGCCTTACAAGAAACTACCCCTTGGTAGTTTTGTTAATTTCTCAGTAGATACACAATCATTCCAAGAATAAGACAGAATTATGGACAATGATGGGGTGAGGAGTAATCATGGCACTAACTTGGGAAATGCTCTCCAGGTGTGGCCTACACACTGAGCTTCAAAAGTGCTGTCAGTGGCTCTGTTGCATCACCACAAGTACCTACCATGCCGCTGCAGGTCATACATTTTTTTGGTTTCTTCATTCCCTAGAATTTTCCATGCCTGATCAATTTCAATGAACTTCTGCAAACATTCCTCCATGGTTTCTGCTGGCACATCTGTGCTTTGTTTATCTGGATGATACTGCCAATCAAAAATAAGGGCGGTGAATAGAGTTGAGTGGGGTAGGTTAAAAAAAAAAAAAACAATCACAAACCTGAGCTTTAGTTAAGAAGATAATGAGAAGATGAAAACTAGAATGCCAAGGCAATGAGTTAACAGTGTTGGGCACAGGAGACAACTGCCAGGTTAATTAGACCACTGCAGTAGTTGCAGATCCACCAGTGACATCATCTGTCACAATGTGCAAAGACAGAATTTTCTGGATAATTTGCTTACAGAATCACTGGTCTCATGGACAATTTACCTGCAGAAGGTGACTAACAAATAGAAATTGGTACGTGCTAATCCGCAGGACCTGAAAAAGGAGGAGCACAAACCTGATGATAAATAAAACTGGGAGAGAAACATCCAACTACACAAACCACACAGGTAAAGGTTTCCTTATATAGCGGATTTCAACACTGATAAAATTATACAGCTGTAACTTAAAACACATCTAACTATAAAAACACAAGACTTCATATTCTTCTCAGCCCTGAAGTTTTCACAGTTTCTAGGTCACATTTGTAAATAACTCAATAAAACATTTTAATATTAATTTATTAAAATCTTTCTCATATGAGCTTTCTAACTCTAAGAAATTTTTAATAATTTTTTAATATTTACACTATTTGGTAAAAATCAGGGAGTTCTACCAGGTCATAATTGAGAAATGTTAACTGCACTGTGGACTGCTGGGAATATCCTTTCCCCTCCTTTTCTCTTTAGTTCTCTTGTCTCTTTGATATCTACCACGTCTCTCAATAAACAAATGAGGAGAGATTAAATTTAGGACATTTCACTTAAAATAATATGCGGGTAACAATGCAGATGCTCATATGTGTAACATTTTTCATTCTCAAATAAATACAAAACCATGTGACAGCACTTTCTAGAATCTTTCAACCAGTAAGTACTTTGAAAGTTTTATCAAGCATTCCATAGAACACAATTAAATTTCAAAGATAAACCTAGTAATTGTCTTGTTTTCTTTTTCAAGTTATTTCAATGAAGCAGCAAATAGCTGTTTCATTGGGATGACATGAATGTAGATAGCTCACCAAGTAATGGCACTAACAGTCTTCCAGTGGCTTCCTTACTAACATAATATCAAAAGAGCACAAGATCTTACAAATATCCTCACTTTTCATTCAAGCTGCTAAATTCAAATTTGCATAGCAAATCATGGTAATAGGAAGCTAGTTAGCTTTAATTACCCTTGGATTCAGGAGGTATGTAGGTTTAATTCTTTTAAACAGTAGGCTTTAACAATGGATGCATTGTCATGGTAACCTCCCCATACTGCTGCTGATCCTTATCAGTAGAGCCAAAGTGATTCTGCTATTTGGTTAAACAGAAAAACTAGTAAACATCACATATACTAGGGCAAACAAGAATTAAGTTTCTAACTTTAACAAACTATTTTATGTCAAATTCATTAGTTATTAGCAGTTAGATATCTAAATTAACTGAGGAAAAGAATGTCTTGCTGGCAGTGGTGGTACATGCCTTTAATCCTAGCACATGGTAGGGAAAGGCAGGCATATCTCTCTGAGTCCCAGGGCAGCCTGGTCTACATAGAGAGCTCCAGGATATCCAAGAATACATATAGAAACCCTTTCTCGAGAAAAAAACAAATGACTACAAAAGCAACAAAAGGAAATCGTTACTGCTTTATCTTTTACTTCCAGGGCTTACTAATGTTGCTCAAAAGCATTATCCGAATATCCCAAAGTTTGGGATGGTCAAGGCAAATTGCAAAGCCAAGATGGATTCCTATAACAACGTGTGCAGCAAAGCTCACTCTGATCAAAGTCACTGTGTGTAACAACCAAATATTGCCACCAGTGCGCATCTAAGACAAACTTCAAAGCCAGGAATAGTGGCTCCAACTTAATTTCAGAACTCAGAGAAGCTTAAGCATATGGATTGTCACAAGTTAGAGGCCAGCTAGGGCTACATAGTGAATTCTAGACACCTTGAGATCTGTGGAGGATTCAAAACTAGAATGGACGACATAATAAGACCCTGCTTCAAAAACCAAGAAGAATTTTTTTTTAACTTTACAAGGGGAAACATTTAATCTCAGCATGTTGTAAGTATTAAGCAATGCCCTAGTAACATTACTGGAAGCTTCTAGAGAAAGAGTAATGCAGATTAAAAGCTAGGTAATTCCTTACAGACCATTACAGAAAGTCTACTTGGTAGACCAGATCATGTACCAATTTGATGAAGAAAATTCTACAAAACCAAGAATTAACTTCCTGCTACTACAAACTGAAGAGCACCATTAGTGTTTATTATGAGTTCTACTATAGTCAAAATGTGAGTCAATCTTCCTCTAACTTGGTATTTTCCTGATTATTACTGAAATAAAGAGTTCAATATCATCCTATAGCAGCCGGTTTATTGGATACATTCCATTAAAAACGACAATAATCCCCAAAACTGGCAAATGGGATTCCAGGAAGCTTCAGCACAGCAAAGACAACCACCTAAATAAAGAGACAGCCTACAAATGGGAAATATGAACTATAATCACACATCTTATTAAAACGTAGACTACATAAGGAACTATAAAACACCAAAGACTCAACAAATGGGATTACAGATTAACAGACAGTGCTCAAAAGAAGAAAATACAAACAGCCAATAGATATTTGCCAAAGAGTCCAGCATTACTAGCCATCTGTAAATGAAAAACAGATTCCATCTTACCCCAGCAGACTGACTGCCAAAAGAAAATAATTAACAACAAATGATAGTGATGATGTAGAGAAAGAGGAACCCCCTTATTCACAGCTGGTGAAGATATAAACTGGTGCAGCCACTGGTGAAGTCAGAGAGGAGGTTCCTCAAAAACCAAAAGTGCTAATTATCCTATGACCTAGCTATACATCTCAGGTATATACCCAAGCCTGACAAGCTAAATTCAATCCCCAGGACTCATATGGTGGAAGTAGAGAACTTTGGAATGAGAACAAAGTGAAAAGTCAAAAAAGGAACAATATTGCTTATGATAGTCTGTAATGACAACCAAACACATCCAATTCAAATCCTTAGCTCCTGTTATTATTATTTAATACGTTCACTGATGGAAGATCCCATGTCCACTTTTCCTATAATGGCACATTAACAAAATCCAGAAAGCTTTTTTAAAAGAAGTAGACCAAATGATTATCATATTTATAATTCAAGATTTAATTTAAAACTATAGCAACTAAGACTATAGTCTTGGACTCATACTGTGATACAAAGAGATCAGTGGAACAGAATAAAGTCTAGAAAAAGACCATCCATAAGGTCAACTGACTCTGCAAAGTTGTAGCAAAGCAATGAGGAAGGCAAGTATTTCTGTCAGCTTTCTTATGGTAAGTAATACCTGAGATAAATCAGCTTATACGGATGAAAGATCTTTTTTTTTAAATTTGGCTCACATTTTAGAGATTGCAGTCCATGATCAGCTAGACCTATTACTTTGGGCCTGTAGTAGCAGATAATACCATGTCTTGAGCATGTGGCGTGTGTGGCTTGTTTATCTCTTGCTTATTTCACTATTCTCAAATGGCATGATAGCAACAGCTTTCCAAAAATTTCCTCACATTTGGGGGAATTTTTCAGTTACAAAAAGAAAGAACTTTTATTGTTCAATTCCTGTGCCACTTCAGGATATGAAACAGGAAACTATTTTGATATACAAATAGAGGATCTTTCAATACACTACAAAAGATTACAAAAATAGTGATGTCGTCTTTTTTTGTTTTGTTTTGTTTTATGAGTCAGGGTTTCTCTGTATTGTTTTGGAGGCTGTCAGTCCAGCCCGGCCTCGAACTCACAGAGATCCGCCTGCCTCTGCCTCCTGAGAGTTGGGATTAAAGGAGTGCGCCACCACCGCCCAGCCATGATGTAGTCTTATATTGAAGTGTTCATTGTCTGTCTTGTTACTGATAATTAACACTTTCCTGTGAAATCTCCATTCCTGTTAGTATTGGCAACAGGTTTTGGATATGGAGTATTTTGTTTGAACTTAGATTCTCTCTACATATTTCACCCCAGTACTGATCAGAATGTTGTACTCAGATCTGCAAAATTGATATGGTCTGAGAGCTTGGGAGAAATACCACTTCTTGAGGTCCATTGCAAACCATCAGAGAAGTCTAGAGTCACACCACACTCCCTAGGCTTTGAGAGTATCCACTGCAAATCTCAGGAGAACTTCAGTCACACCATGCTCCCCAGACTGAGAGTGTGCCCCATCGTAAATCTTCTGAGACCTCTAGTGTGGCGGTATCTTGTTTATACTCTAACAAATAAAGCTTGCCTGAAGATCAGAGGGCAGAGATAGCCACTAGTTAACCACAGAGGTCTGTAGGTCAGTACAGAAAGACAGGAAGTGAGAGGAATGGGCAGAGAGGAATATAAGGTAGGAGGAGACAGAAACTCCGTCTCTTTGCATTCTGAGGAATTTGGAGAGGTAAGAGCTCTAGTGACTGGCTGCTGTTTCTTTGATTTTTCAGCTTCCACCCCCTAATCTCTGACTCTGGGTTTTTATTATTAACAACAATTAGAACTCATGAAGTAGTTAAGACCACTGCTTACTCTTCCAGAGGCCTGAGTTCAATTCCCAGCAACCACATGGTGGCTCACAACCATCTATAGTGAGACCTGGTACCCTCGTCTGGCAAGTTGACATATGTGTAGGAAGAACACTGTGTACATAATACATAAATCTTTTAAAAAAAAAAAAAAGGAACTCATGCTATACTGGCACCCAACTTTTGGGCACAATTTCACAAAAAAAGCCACTTGCCTGTGGCTTATCAGCCACTGGCACAGTTCAGGGCTCCCGCCAGAGTTACTGTCTCACCAGCTAGGTTTTTCTCGTTTTTTTCTCCAAGCCTCTGAGCAAGCTTAGAGTTTGTTTGTTTGTTTTTGTTTGTGTTGTTTTTTTTGTTGTTGTTGTTGTAGCCTCTCTGCAGCAG